GATGGGGGTGGTGGGGCTGGATCATGCTGAGCATCTCTGATGGGGCACGGGTGGGGTGTCAGATGGGGGGAGCCATGTGTGCCACCCGTGGGGGCATGGGGTGGTATGGGGGGGTGCTGTTTGAGCCCATGGCAAGAAAAAAAGGGTGTGTTTTTTCTGGAAATGGAGAATTAATCCCTAAAAAGCCAGAGCTGGTGGTCTCTCCAGATCTGCCTCCCGCAGCCCCAGCAGTTTTGGGAGACGCAGACAGTACCCATCTGGGGGCTCGGGGACGTAGCGGTGGGAGCCAGGATGGTGGGGAACAACATGGCAGGGTGACCCATGGCCGCAGGGGATTTCTCGTGATGGCATTCAGCTGCCAATGGGCTCCTTCTCCTTGGAGGTTGAGTATTGAGCATGTTGGGAAATGTCCTGGAAAGGTCTTTGGGGAGGACACCTATAATAGGTCCAGGGGTGGAGAATGTTTTGAGGAAGGGGGTTAGAGCAGCAGTTAGGTCACGTGGGGTGACCTCCGGTCACACTCTCTCCCGTGGTACGCTGTGCCTCATCCTGAGGATGGTTCTCCCACTGTGTGAGGCACCCACGTGCCTGTGGTGGTTTTCCAAAGCCCCAAATTATTCCCTGCGGGTTCCAAGTCTCAGGGTAGGAGACAGATGTGTCCCCCATCAAGCAGCATCCCTGGGCAGGGCTCCCTTCGCTGGGAGACACCGGAGCTGCTGGTGGCAACCAAGGGGGGATCTTGGCTGTCTGTTGAGCTCCAGGAGACCCTCCCACCCATGAGCCTGCGAGGGATCGAGCTGGAGGGTGCTTTCCCCTCCTATGAGCAATGCTAAGGCCCAGTATCCATCAGGGCCAAGTGGAGAGGATCCCTACTGCTCCAGAGGGTCCCAGGTGGGTGTCAGCCACCCCTCCTGGCATGTGGTGCCCCAGGGGGGAAGGTTTCTGCTAATTCTGCAGAAGCTGAGGAGCGATCTGATGTTGCACGTGTGTCCTCAGGCCTGGACAGGCTCAGGGACGAGTGGCACCAGGGCTGGGAGACTGGGAGAGACCGGCCCCTTGCCCAGCTGACAGCAGGGGGCTGTGGTGAGGAGGGGGGCTTCTGGCCCATGTATGGGACAAAGATGGATGAGTTAATGGCAGGGGCGAGGCTGCTGGTGCCCTGTGGGTGCCTCTGGGGTCAGGTGGCAGATACTTGCCACCTCCCCAGGACCCTCTGGATGTACTGGGAAGAACCTGCTACTGGAACTGGAGGCGAAAGGTATTTTACCCAGCCACCCCCCCATCCTCTTCCTCTCCTCTTCCAGATCTCCGCCTGCAGCTGCTGGATGTGAAGAACAACCCCTACCTGATCAAGGCTCTCTACGGCCTCCTGATGCTGCTGCCCCAGAGCAGCGCCTTCCAGCTCCTCTCCCACCGCCTCCAGTGCGTGCCCAACCCCGAGCTCATGCAAACCTCGTAAGTGCCTCCGGGACGGGGCTCTGCCAGACCCCTGGCATCAGCGGCGGGGACGGACACGCTGTCCCCCTGGAACCAGGCATCCCCGGGGTCAACCCTGTGCTCCTTGTTCACCCCCGGCTCCTTTGAAGCCACGGCAGAGCCTAGCCCCC